GTCTTAGGAAGTCTGTTTTTATATTAAATCGGTCAAAGAATGTAAACGTTTCTTTGGTAAGTAAATTTACCAATCCCCTATCAACTACCTCTTTTAATATTTTTTTCCTAACTTTTTGGATTTACCACCCTAGCCTGCTCTGATGGTTTATCTGCGCTACTGAGCAATTTATTAGCCATAAACAACTTTTCATCGTCTGTAATGGTGGGATCAAAAAAAGAGGATACTCCCACCAACTCTGCATTCAAATGCCACAAATGAGTCGAAAATTTGGTCAGGACTATTTCTGCGATATCATTGGCACATTGTTTATAGTCTAACAGACTATGCAAAATACCTAAATCTGGCTTTGGTGCAAGATGAGCTTTTGGAGCATTGAGCCACCCTGGTGCGATATAAAGTAAATTGACATTATTACCTTTTCAAAAGCGAAATTAAGTCAACAAAAATTTGGAAATAAAGTCATTGACGCTGTTTCCTCATTCAAAATGTTGTTCTTACAATAAATATTGCCCCGTAAGTGTTGTTTTTTAATAGATGAAAAAAGGTGATTGCCAAATCGTCAGTGTGGGGCTATTAATCCACACACAATCATAAACTACCACCAATTGATTTTATTAAAAAAATTAAAATTACGAATATAGTAAAAACACGATGCGAAAAACCAAACGGAAAACGCAGCTGGAATACGAGAAATATTTGAAGAACGAGTATAGAAATGATCCAGAAATTGCAAAACATGTTTCGTTTCCACAAAAATAAAGCGAACACTTTTAAATTGAAGAAACAGTCCATGTCCAAAAACCCCGGAGGAACACTGAGAGATTTCTGTTTTAAATTACCATGTTTTGAACGAATTCGGAATGTCTAAGGTTGAAAAGAAACCAACCTTTCTATAAGGAAACAATTATAGAAAAGGAATTTTCTTACACTGTATTCATGTCCCCGCCAGCAGTTCGTGACATCATTTAAAAGCAGCTAAGGAGAACGACGACACTATTTATTAGATGGCACATTCAACAAGCCAATGTGCCAAAATGCGGGTATAAACAATTATTGATTATTTAATATCGGAACCGAGATAACGTAAGTTAATTGATTGGTTTTCACACACTTTTGAAGCACAAATTATATGCTTTTTTACTGCTGACAAGTTGTTGCCAAAACACAGCAGAAATCTTCCAATAACTTACAAATATAAAAATGTGAAATATCGAGGGCTTAAATTCATGAATACCCTCTATCTGCAATTTGCACAAAAACTAATTTGTGATTTTAGAAACTATCTGGGACTTATTACCTGTCATCACTGATATATTACTTCTGATTTCTATTTTATAATAGTGTAAATTCTTCTGTCAAGCGTTATATAAGGTAGCACATGATACAATTGGGTGGTTCACAAGGTACGAATTCGTTAAATATAGTGTTAGCCGTTTAAAGTTTATGACATACAACAGTACGACAGTATACAACACCTTGTGAACTCCCTAAATAATTTTTAGAAAGTAGTTTTACTTCTAAATTTCTGACATAAACCGTGTCTGTGACAAACGCGCAATGTGGCCACTGCTATGATATAGAACTTGGGGATTTTCGCTTGTTATTTTAGATATTTTTTAACAGAACATGGAAAGATGTATATATTTCATAACTGATCACTTAATTTTTAATATACATAGATATGTATACGTGTTCAATACATACATTCTTGCCATTGCTAATCACATGAATAAAAATTATAAAAACGAAAATATGACAGCAATATTTCTTGTTTAAAATGTTTTAGATCCATCGCACACCACGGACTTTTCCGGCCGCCGATTTAGTTGGGCTCGCTAGTCTTTCCATTGCGCCACAACTAATTGGTCGGAGGAATTAAGTTTGTGTAGTATGCGCACCTCCATACATCTTCATGCACATTTTTCAAGTGAGACCTACTATTTAAATAAATAGGCGGCCGATAAATTCTGTGGTGTGCCAAGGCTCTTTTAGCTGCATCCTTACATCTATTCCGTGTGTTGCAATATCCACGGAAGCAGCAGTTAATTTTTTCTTAATTTTTTATGAAGAAAATTATTTAAAAATATTAGAAAATTCCTTTACTTATATGTTTGGCTTTCCTTTGATTTATTTTTTCAACGTTAAAAGCTTGTTTTTTTTTGTAGCGGGACCTGGTGTGGCACGCCGGTCGTGCGGGGCGCGAGCGTGGCGAGCGTGGCGCGCGGACGCGGGCCGCCGCGAAGCTAAGCAAATTTAATGTTTGAAAGAGCAATAATGTCAATAGATTTTATTTCGCTTTTGAAAGCGAAATAAAGTCAATTGACCTTATTTCCGTTGACCTTATTACCTGTCACCGACGATTTGAGGGTAGTTTGCAACCGGTGATCTGGTGAATGGGATAGCCCACAAGAAATATTTTATCCTTGGACCGTCTTCGTACGCCTGATGTGGATGCCATTTCAGAGTCCAATAGGTAAATAACTATAATAGGTATAAAAATAGTAACACACACACTTGGAAAATTAAAAAAAAAA